TGAAACAGATCATTAGTGGAGAACATCCATCCATTGCGATCATTCCAATACTGATCGATGAACTGCGTAAAGCTAATATGGAGGGGGCTCATTCCGAGTGAATCCGCGATGATAACTACATATTCCATGCGAACACGTTCTGCATTCTGAGTTGTGGTTTCACCATACCTACAGGAATGCTATAAACTGACGTTCTGGGCACCCTTTCCTGCTTTGTTAGTTGGCTCCTTGCGTCTCAACCGCCTGGTAATAACGAGCAAGTGCTCATGATAATCGATATTGCCCGTGGGAGCCTCGCGAGATATAAGCCTCGGCGATGTAAGACAGATACTTTCCTCTTGGCAATGAATCATCGATCAGGAGAGAGTTGAGCAAAGATTCGAGATACAGAATAATATTCATCCAGTGAATAGAGCCAATTGTTGTATGATAGGTGATTAGTAATCTAACTCCACTGCACTAGTACCCTCGTCTGCTGCTGCTGTTCTGCTGCTGTTGCTGTAAACTATTGATAGGCACAGAGGATAAATTCTGAAGACGTTGGACTAGAGCGTTTATGTTTCTAGTCAGTTCCCCGGACAACTACACGACGAGGGAATCGGATGCTATGAATAAACACAGTCTAAGTGTCGGATCTATCATAAAATCCGGCCTACGACACGGAATCAACGGCATCCTCTAGAACCACCCATTCGTGGCCGTGATGACTTACTTCACGCCTCGATGCAATATGGTCTCATTTTGACTAAGAACGGGCATCTCTGTAAGTCTGTTGTCATCATCATTTCCCATGGCCAGTACAACACTTGCAGCTGGTCTGTCCGAGTGGGAACGTGCCGAATTAATCCGTGAGAGGCGATCAGCAGTAGACCGCGAGTTGGAGGGAAAACAAATGCGGGAGATGGCCGAGGTGGGGCCGCACCTCTCAGCGTGTCTTTTCACCTGGCTCTCCTATTACACCGTCGCTTACTCGGATGGATGTCCATTCATCTGATACAGCCCGAGGCGAACGCTGGATGTGACGGGTCTATTTGGGCTCCTATACTGAACCTCGGATCAGATTGACCGACAGTGCTCCGAATTGGTGGAGACCACCGCTACTGAGATCGGGGAGAGACTCGACGCTCGACGACAATACTGGTACCAACAACATCGACAAGATCTGGTCATAAGCTAAGAATGTTACAATCGACAATTTATTGACCTCAGATTAATGCAAAGAAGCAATTCTTGGCAAGACGTGGCATTGTTGTAGAAATGCCGGAGATGGAAGAGGAGATGACCCGTCGTGCCCTTGCAGAGGTCTTTGTAGACTTAAACACTGCCTTCAGCTACTCCTACTGTCCAGGTTGAGAAGATACTCTCTCAAGCACATGACCAATGGTGGATAAAGCAGTCGTCGGTTGAGTAAATCGCTCGATAAACTGCTGTCCTCATTATAAGTTGCTGCTTCCTCTTGGCAGGTCTCGACTCAATCTTATTGCTCACTTAGAGGCATGTATCAAGGATGTGGCCTCGATTATCCATCACCAGCAACAACAAGAACGATCAAGCAAAGAATTGATGACGGACAAGTGCATCGTCCAGATACCGCTAGGTGGCGATGCTCGGTTTATCAGTCTTCATCTACATGCATTCTCACCAAAAGGCTTACATCGACTCCCACTCACCATAGGTTCAACGCGAGCTGGACAGCTAACGATCCAACCGACTGATGACGATGATGCTGTGAAACTTCGCCAACACTGGCACGACAGACGTATGGCCCAGATGAAGGTGGAGGCGGAGGCTCGAACACGAGCTGGCATAGAGGAGTACATTAAGTTTTACCTACCTTGTTCTTCTAGCTTGCTCAGTCTGTTCATGATATGCTCATTATCATCAGGCTAGCTGCTGAGAAACTCAAGTTGTCGAAGAAGGTTTCAGCGATGGTTAGTCAAGTCGGCGATCGTGCTTCAACGAACAACACCTCAAAATGGGCCACGAAGGTCGACGTCGCTGCTCATCGGGCTAACAGCAACGCATATCAGCGATGCATATCAGCGATACATTTCTGATTAGGTACTGAAAGAATCCTTCGAAGCCGCACGCCTACATCGACAGGAACTGTTGAAACACACGTCCGAGGTCGAACAATCATTGACGTGCAGGAGCGGTGTTAGTAGCAGGAGGCTGCGGAGTTAGAGCCTACTAGCGCTATTATCATAAATTGAAGCTACTAGATACATCTCTCTCGGCCGACCCGGTAAATGGGACCGCACCGTATTCTGGAAATGTTTTGGGAGGTCGAGGATCAGCGACATATATCAACCAATCTTTAGACTTAAAGTATTGCACATTCACCTCAGCATGCCCCTAATGTGATTCATTGGCATCATCTGCGTATTGATGTGCCTTCTGTATCAGGAACGAGCTCATTTTCCCCGACGCTAATGCCACTGCTGAGGCTCTAGTTAGCAACATACTCGCAAACAACAGGGGTTCGGCTGCCTTGAAGGGATTACTCGAGTAGGTACCTGTTCGAGACCTGCCTACTACCATCAGTGGAGTGAGTGCTCTTGACCAATTGCCAGGAATCATTACTTAAGATGTGAATATTGTGTAAATATCTCTTAGCTCATGGGCATCGACAGGGAAGTACTGTTCAGTTCACACGCTTACTATGGAGATATATAATGATATACTATCTTTAGGCAGCAGGCATCGCAAAGAGGCAAATGCATTATCAAGTCCTTGTTGTCGTCGGTTCCAGAGATATATCGTTATTCGAGATCGGAGGAAGTTGTGACATCGAGAGACTTCGTGGCTGAGCTAACATCTTCGCTGCATCATTTAAGTTCGGTCCTTCCTGACCATAATGACGGCAATGAGAGTGTAAGACGATAGGGGAGCTCATGATCGGCTGGGGTGGACGGTCATCTGTACACACAACCATTCAGGCGCTACAGAAGATGGTGGCCTGCGTAGAGGCAATGGGGCAGGCACTGGAGCTTCTAGCCAAAGTTGATGAAAAGCTTACCACTCGAATAATCGATGGTATCTTCGCAGCCTATGATCACCTGGATGACCTTTCGGGAACACTTGAGTGTTTAATAGATGATGAACTCGTGAGGAGCTATTGGTCGGGCATATTGCATCTTGTCTTCTTTCATCCAACGCCTTACGCCTCTCAATGTTCTTATGCGTGAATTCGGATTATAGCTCACGAAAAACTATGTGAGAGTCTCTCACTGAGAGACAAATCATTCTGTCCCTTCAGGCGGTCCGAGCTGAAGCCTACGAGTTACAACTAGAGATCACGGCTATTAAGGAGGAAGGCAGCGGTGGTGGTGATGTTATCACTCCAGAAACTCGCAAACGTCTATACCAACTCGAACGGAGGCTGCAATCATGTCGGAGAGATTTGAGAACGAAAAGTCGCCAAGGAACTGATTGTCAATATCGACAGCTATGATGCCATCATCATCATCATCATCATCATCACTGTGCAGGCCCATCTTAGTGTACCTTCATCATGCTAGTGTCTAATGTGTTGCGCTCGACAACAACAACAAGACTTACGTGAGTTACGAATCTCCCGAGTAGATAACGTGATTGTCTCTCTTGCGCCCTGTCCCCATAGCATCTTCTTCGTTTTCTATCACTAGTCGACTACTTTTCAAGAGTATGGAACCCTATTCGCTAGGTCCCTCCAACACTGAGGGTTAGATCGTGGACAGCTTATTCGAACTTACTATATTCTTTCACGAAATAGTAGTGCGATTAATGCTCATACAGACACTTATTTGGGCGTCTGGCTCCACGATCGATCAGGATACCGCGGGATCACAGCTTAGTACCCATAACTCGGCAGAGATTCAACCAGAGGGATATGGGGTCAGAGTGCAGCATGGCAATTCGGTGTGTTCAGTTTATTCACGACTCCTCTTAATCCATGCTCAAGATAATCACCTTCATCCTGCTATCCGTCTATGCCCTGGCCCTCAAGGGATATGAATCCAACGAACAACCAACAGCTACAAGACTTTGCTGGTCTATAGATTGCCCAGATGTAAGCACATGCGAGTGGAGCAATGTGGATAACTCTGGCTTTTGTTGGAGGGGCCACGGTGACTGTCTGTGTCGCTTAAGCTTAGACCGTTAGAAAGGTCTACTCCACCATTTAACTACTTCTTGTTCATCGAATAGCTCATGACCCCTTGTGCTCTATTGCATGTTAGCTCTACTGCATTTAAGGGTCGCTACTACTATCATCACTTTGCTTCTTGAAGTTTGTGAAGGTTATACTTCTTAGACTTCTTCCATCACTATCACTTCAAAATGGAGTACAAGTCGGACAAGGCGGTGTTGTGTTGCATGAGAGTGAGAATCTCTAAATGAGAAGCTTTTGAATACGAGAGAATCGAGGAGGATTGTGACCTTCCTTGGAAAAGTTTGGTCATTTGAAAGCCACCTTCAGAACAAGATACCCATTGTTGATATACTCAGTGAGTATATCCCCGTATCAGGCTGTGGGGAAAAAGATGATATGGTGGGGGAAAAGCACCTCGAGGAACCTCGAAACGACGTTGAACCACCTATCCCCTGCGATATGTTAAGAAGTCTGGTCAGTAATGCTCTTCCACCGATAAAAATGTGTGATGATAGTAGCCTCTACACCACCCGTACGTACAGCAGTACACAACCCGAGCAGTAAGAGCTTCGAATGGACGTAATTACTTCGAATGAAGCTTCAAATACCGTCCATACTATCAATACGTTGAAAATTGCATGATGTAATAATCCCCAAGGCCAGAGGTGCATGGAAGTTGCATGTTCGCGGGAACTGACACAATGAGGCATGAGAGGGAGTAAGAGACACCGTCTCCGAAATGGGCCCCGAACTGCTAGAACTAGCTAACTAGCACTTCTGCTACAATTGTGTAATAGCGTTAGCCGTCTCGGCGGTATTGTCCATTTGCGTTAGTTCACCTTAAGTTGCATTTATCATACAATCAGGCATGGTTGTCTATGAAGCTCCTCATTTGAAAATTAAAGAAGGCGTCATCCATCCAGTCGTTTGTGTTGTCGGAGACCCTCAACGTGCCGAGCTGATTGCCACCAAGTACTGCGATCATTTCGATGAGCTAGCTTTCAACAGAGAGTATCGTTCATACAATGTCACATATGGAGGAGCCGAGCTGTCCATATGTTCCCATGGTATTGGTGGTCCCGGTGCTGCTATCTGTTTCGAAGAGTTAATCAAGTGTGGTGCGAAGATCATTATCCGTCTTGGTACATGTGGATCCTTAAAACCGGAAAATATCAATCAAGGAGATCTAATTGTCCCAACAGCAGCATGTCGTGAAGATGGTGTAACTCAGGCTCTGGTCCCAGATGGTTTTCCCGCTGTTGCTGACCCAGTACTCTGTATTGCTATCAGGGATACTGCCAAGGCTCTAGGGTACAAGAATACCCATTTCGGTATATCATTGAGTTTAGCTGCCTTCTACCCGAGTTCAGCTGCCGATAGTACTCTATTGAAGAATGCAGCTGCTGGTGCGATTGCAGTAGAGATGGAGAATGCTCCTCTATTTGTCGTCGCTAGTTTGAGAGGTATTAGAGCTGCTGCGGTGGCAACAGTAGACGGATCACCCTTGAAGTGGGATGATGGTGATTATGATCCTCACGGTGAAGTTGTAAGGGAGGGTAAGGAAAGGATGATTAAGGTCGGTTTGGAGGCTGCTAAACGTATTGTTCTCGAGAACCTCTAATGCTTCTTTTCATTTCATAACCATTTTAAGTAGTGTTAACTCTATTACATAATACTCACTTTGCGTTAACAGTTCAATAGTACAACTAAACTTTAGAATAACATTAATGTAAACATCCATTGGATAAATGCAGACAATTGCGTTTATGACTTTCAATTCGTTAATATCTTAAATTTTCATGATTATTCCTAAACGAGGAGAGAATCGACAGAAGCATTAGTAATCATGTTAAATTCTCCATTCCATAATTGCAACTGAAATTTGCAACTTGAGAATCGTCGAGTATTATTGAGTTGGATATTGATTAACCTTAACGATCCTTATCCGATTGTTGATTCGAACTAATAACTCAACATATATTCTTTGGCAGGTTGGATTGTCATTTGCAAGGCCAACTATTAGTAAGAGCCTACTTCCTCCTAAGACGTCAATGCCAGCGTCGTTGTCAATATTCCATAGTCGATAGGGGTAGTAATGGTTTACTGAGCGAAGACACTGGGTCTGTTGCCAGCACGGAAGGTCTTCTTATACTTAAGGGAAGTACGAGGGATACGACGAGGTAGAGGGAACTTAGCACCAGAGTGATACTGAGTGATGTGGGAGCGACGGCACTCATCATTCTTCAAAGTAGCAGTCTTAATGATCTGCACATTAGAAGCAAGAGCACGATGACGACCAGCCATCTCCTGATACATCTGACCAACGGCACCAGTAAGAGTGGTATCACGGTACTCCTTATACCTGATACACAATAACAACTTGATAATGAATACGACAACATCCCTCAGCATTACATGTTATGAGTGCCAGAACGAGAGTCATAACGAAGCCAGATACCGTAGTTGTTAACGGTAGTAGGATGCTTCTCAAAGCACTCAGTGATACCAAGCATCTCACCTCCTGTCAACTTAGCCTTGGTAATACGCTTCATATAATACCTAAAAAGGAGGAGTATATGTAGATATTAGGGTAGGCATATTACCAGAACTTGGACTTGGCAACAACAGAGTTACGAGCAAACATCTTCATACGGAAGATCTTACGCTTGGGGTTCTTAACGGAAGGAGCAGCCCGACCAACAAGTTGGTACACGTGCATCTAACATAACAACATCATACTCAGCTACACCCGATACGCTACATATTCCTGATAACGCGGGGTTTACCGTACGATACCCCAGAGTACTACCTTCATGCTGATAGAGATCCGTCTTGACCATTGCGACTGAG